TGTGATGTGATGTGATGTGATGTGATGTGATGTGATGTGATGTGATGTTCTATCCTTTGCAATCCAATCATATTTTGTACTATTTTCTTTCTTTCTAGACAGATGAACAAGCCATGTTAGAAGATACACTGGTTGCACTATTTGATTTGGAAAAAGTTTCTTTTTACTTTAAACCATCAGAAGAGGAACCACTGGTTGCAAGTAAGTAGTTAAATGTCTGATAGGTGTTTCATAGAATTTTTTGACATCAAACAAAAACATATGGCATAACTTTGATATTATATTTGATAATATAGTTCAAATTGTTTTATATAAAATGTCATATTTAGGGTAAAATAAATAATAATAACCAACTGTGGAAGTGATAGAAAATATACGTGAAGAGGCTTATACCAGACCACTGAAAGAACCTCACATTTCTAATTAAGCCATGGGTCAGAGGGATGACCTGATCTGGCTTACCTACTGAAAGCTGCCTCTGATTGCAGTGTTGAATAAAGCATTACTGGGGACAAGGACAGAAGCAAACCAGTGAGGAAGCTACTTCAGTGACCCAGGTTGAAAGATGATGGGGACTTGACCTTGAGGGTAGCTGTGGAGATGATACAAGTGGTTGATTCTGAATGTATTAAATTATGAAGGTAGAGAGAACAGAATTTTATTAAAGTTTCATCCTCACTGATAAATGAGAGAGAATGAGAACATGAATTACAATGTTAAGGATTTGGATTATATTCAAGGGAGAACTTGGTGAAGGGGATTAATTGATTAGGATATTATTACTTGAAAAAATTGTATGGTCTTCTGTGGGCACGTATAAAATAGAATATATTTTCATTTACTTTAGTCATGTGGGTATGATTTTGCCAAAGGCAGAGAAACTCTTATTTTCACAACATAACCTGTTTTTTTTTTCTTTTAAATTTTGCTTTAGGGGCCATAAGCTCACAGGAGTACTGTTTTCCATGGTTCAAATACGACATTACTGGTGAATGGTCTGTTGAACAAGCAGGCAGGGGACCTGTGTTATAAGCTTGATAAAACAGTTACTTATTGGGGCGTCTGGGTGGCTCAGTCGGTTAAGCATCCGACTTCGGCTCAGGTCACGATCTCACAGTCCGTGAGTTCGAGCCCCGCATCGGGCTCTGGGCTGATGGCTCAGAGCCTGGAGCCTGCTTCCGATTCTGTGTCTCCTTCTCTCTCTGCCCCTCCCCCATTCATGCTCTGTCTCTCTCTGTCTCAAAAATAAATAAAAAAACGTTAAAAAAAATTAAAAAAAAAAACAAAAAACCAGTTACTTACTGCATAGCCACCATGAGAGGTTTAACTTTAGCACATTGAAAACTAGTATAAATATTAGAGATAATTAAGACCACACAAGTAATATTAGCATGTAAATGTGTACATATCTGTGACAAATATAAACATTCATGTAATTCATATATATTTTTATGAATGTCCCCAAAGTATAACCTCAACTTCTGAAAACAGGTCCCTAGGGCAAGGTCAGTTCCAATGCTACACTAATAGATATTCCAAGCAAGTCATTAACAGTGATGGTAGGAACATACCTAAGTATATTCAGGAAAGAAGAGAATTTTTTAATACCCAGTGTCATCACATCTTATTTAAGTGGTATAAGGAAGCTAGAGCTTTATTATTAATCACATGTGATTTGATCTTTCTGTAAGGTTAGAAACAGAGGAGTCAGATGGACAAATTAATTTGCATCACTGTAGTGAAGACTAGTTTGGCTACTTGTCTTTGAGGGAAGGACTGAGCACAGAGGGGAGGAAACATGAAGTTATAAAGAGAACAGTGCTTTGAAGATAAGAAACTTGAGTCCCAAACTTGTGCGACTCTTATGCACAAACATGGGAATACCAGCTTTCCCTCACTCATGGGGTCATGAGCCTTAAATAAGATAATGTATTTGCAAGTCCCTAGCCTTGCACATTCTCTCTCTCTCTCTCTCTCTCTCTCTCTCTCTCTTAAAAACAAATAAACATTAAAAAGAAATTTAATGAAAAAAACAAAAATTAAAAAAAAGGGGTGCCTGGGTGGCTCAGTTGGTTAAGCGGCTGACTTTGGCTCAGGTCATGATTTTGTGGCCTGTGGGTTCAAGCCCCACATTGTGCTCTGTGCTGACAGCTCAGAGCCTGGGACCTGCTTTGGATTCTGTCTCCCTCTCTCTATGTGCCTTCTTCCCTGCTTGTGCTATCTCTCTCTCTCTCTCTCTTAAAAATAAATAAACATTCAAAAAATTGAAAAACAAAAAAAAGAAAGTCCCTAACATTACAAGGCTCGTGGTAGTATTCAGCAAATATTTGAACCCATCCTCCTCACTTTATTACTCTGCATTCTTTTTAAAGAGCTATGTTTAGCGTTATTTATAGTCGTATTTTTGCATTAAAGAATAATGAGATTCTGAAAAAATAGGGCTTGCAAGCAAGTTGAACTCAAATGTCTGGATTGAAGACATTTTATTTTTCTTTAAGAAATACTAAGTATATACACCATGCTAACTGCTGAACTAAATTCCCAAGATATAATAGTGACTAAATAAAACAAAGACCCCATTGGCATGAAGCTTAGAAACTAGCGAGAGATGGAAAGGAATAGATGGATATTGTAACCCACTGTAGTATAGGGAAAGTACGAGATCCTTTCTATGTCATGTTAGGTAATTAGTGAAGAAGGAATAAGTGAGCTAAATGATTAGGTTGTATAAAATTAAATATATTTTATGGAAAATCTTCATGTTTTTGGAGAATAAAAATATAATGATAGCAAATCTCCCCCCCCTTTCAATGGTGATACAGGTAATTTTACCATAATGATTAGCAGAATGGATATTTTTGAGCTTTCACTTTTTCTATATGAGCCAGGCATTGCACCTGTAACCGTGGATGCCGTGGTGAATAGGACAGACACCATCCCTATCTTTATGGAGCTCACAGCCTACTTGGGAGAAAACAAAGAAGGAATCAACTACAAAGATGATTAGGGCCATGATAAATCCTATGCAAGAAATAAGCAGTGCATAAAGAATGAGGGTAAGGTGGCTCTTTAAGGAATGAACAAGGAAGGGCTCTCAGCAGAAATAGCTTTTAAGCTGAAATCCAAAGGGTGATAAAGACCCAGCCCTGCAGACGGTCAAGGAAGAGCAATTCAGGCAAAGGGAACTAACAACTTCTTGGAGACTTACCTTCAAATTCATGGGCCTGTTCAGTGACGGAGGGCCAAGTTTACCGGGATGGGATGCCATGGTTGGAATTCCTCTCTGGAATAAATACCATAGGAGAGACCTTTTCTTCGTGCAATAATTTTTTTGTAGCCTTTAATTGTTACATAGTCCTAATCTTCGATTTTTTTTCATAGTAGATAAATTTCCACAAATAAAAGGCAGCAATTTCAGCTCCACATTACTATGTGCTTTTACAGGTATACCAATTACTTCGAGAGAAGGTCATTCTTTCACTCTTAGCTTTAACTTCATTTTAAATTTAATATACTTGATAATTTTCAGTCATTTTCACTTTCTTTCTTCCTAGGATAGCATGTTTATTTGTCCTATAATGGAACTCCAACTGCTGCGTTATTATCTTTCTTTCAAAAACATTTGGTGCCAAAGACTAAACAAATGGAGTTTTAAAAATTGAAATACAAATGAAAGACATTGTATGTAAAGGGAAACTAGAAAATACAAATACTTAGTATATACCTAATATATATACATTTTCTATAGTGTCTGTGGATCCTTTTTCTATTATAGAGCTAAGGAAAAAACGGAGTTTCCCAATCATTCAAATCCAGTTAATTTCCAACTCTTCAACTGAGAAATGTCTTCTCTTTTCTAAACCTAAATCCTTTATACCTCCCATAAGCATATAGAAAGGGGCTCCTAGGTGGCTCAGTAAGAGTCCAACTCTTGATCTTCGCTCAGGTCAAAGCCCTGCATCAGGCTGTGCGCTGACATCATAGCATGGAGCCTGCTTAAGATTCTCTCTCTCTCCCTGTCTCTCTGCCCCTCCCCTGCTCCCTTTCTCTCTCTCTCTCTCAAAATAAATAAAGTTAAAGAAACTCTAAAAATATGGAAAGAAAAATAAAATAAGCATTATTATATGGCATAAAAGAGACTTGTAGATGTTAATGCAATACCTCTGCTATTGATATGCATAATTACCTACATTTAATGAGAAACCTGGAATCTCTCTTCCATAATGGATTTAACCTTGAACTCTACTTTTATACATAATTTTATTCAAGAAGTAGGTTAGAACTAACAAATATTGAGCAAGAACTTGTATTAAAATTTCTACTATATTTTTGCCTTAATTTTTAACTTGGTTAATATGACTATTCTAGCTTCTTAGGAAGATTTTACATTCTTTTTAAATGAAATGAAAGTTATTTGTCTTGGATAAGTAACATAAAATGAGAAGTATTTATGATAGCACTATGAAATACTCCTGCATCATTTTAGCTTTTCAAATTGGTTGTTTTTTGGGTTTGGTTTTTTATTTTGCTTTTGTTTTTGAGTAATTAAACTTAAGATCTTTGAGAAAACTAAAAGAATTTGGACAGATAATTTCTAATGACTGTAGGGCATCAACAGAGGTAATATGTTTTTGATCTGGTGCTCAGGGAATGGAACTTGCAAAACCCATGCGAATTTTGATAATGGTTGCTCTGTACCCAATCTCTTGTACGCTACTTAAGAATTGTACCCCAAGGACTCATTTTGACTAAAATATGAATGAGGCAGCTGCCCTGGGAGATTCTGATTCCAAACCATGTGTAACTAAACTTCTCATTTAGTTAAGTGAGACATCTGGTGTGTCAAAGTGTAACGAAGTTTCCTATTGTAGAATTTTATATACAGTACAGTAATAAATCTGTTGCTTTAGCTAATAAGAATCTGATTTAATACTTTCACTGAAGAACGCTGTAAGTTTGCCTAACTTGAACTCAACATATATGTCAAGTATATAGTATGAGTATAATACATTATATATAATATGCATATATTTATATTAGTTTCTAGTAATTTTCAAGATTTTTTAAAAAGTTAACAAATACACTTTATAACATAACCTGACTTTTGGAAATAATGTAATATTAAATGTCATTTTAGATGTTCCTCTTACATATCAAGCGGAAGGAAGTCGGCAGGCTCTGAAAGTTTACTTCTACATTGATAGTTATCATTTTGAACAGCTGCCTCAACGTTTGAAAAATGGAGGAGGGTTTAAAATTCATCCTGTTCTTTTTGCACAAGGTAAACTACTTTTTTTAATACATGTACTTAAATTATGTTATCTTTATTTTTAAAAATACATGTAATTGTAGCCATCATAGTTGTTTTTTCCATTAATTCAAAAATTCCTTCACAGTACCTAGGTAATGTATTTACTTTTGTGAATGTTTATTAAGGAAAGAATAACATTAGTTTTAAATATTTACCAAATAGGACTGCAACAGTATTTATAATGGAGAAACAAGACATGAGTGGTTTAAATAATACAGATAAATTAATTTGGCTCAAATAAATTATGGTAGAGCCATTAAAATTATATGGTTAAAATTTTTTTATGAGCTAGAAAAAGATTGGCAATGTACACATGCAAGTTACAAAAAATTTATATTCCATTCTCAATTATGTAATCCAAGTGTGTATATAATCAAATGTATATAAAATGTTTTTGGTATCATTGGGTGATTAAATTGATGATGATTTTTTATTCTTTGAGTTTGTACCCTGAGTAAAAATATATTCCTTTTATAAATAAAAAAATTGTTTTGGCAAATGAACAATGAGTTTTTTTAACTGCAATAGAAGAAATTAAGGTTAACATGAGTAAGAGTCTTTCAGTGAACTGGTTTCCAAGGAAAGATCCTGGATCTTTTTTATTTCCAGAGGCACAAATGCAGCCCCAAACTGATCATAAGTCCAGATTATTCTAGTGTAGTTTCTTCTAGTCTATGATTTTTTTTTTAACTCATGCTGTGGTCACAAGATTATATCAATTTCTCTGAGCAGGTCCATGGAGGATTTCATTTTTTTCTTCTATTGAGTTTTCAAGAACTGCATCAGTTTTGCTGTGGAATCTTTATATTCTAATAAAAAATGAGAAGAGTAGAGAAATAAAATTAATCTCTGTAACTGAAGAACAGACAGGCAAATGAAATACAAATCTACAGCCAAGTGAAAATTCTTGTACCATATGCATATTATTGTAATTCTGAAAGATAGATTGCCCTTCCTTTGATTGCCATAGTTTAAAAACAATGACTGCCTCAGATACTTGGTAAGAATACATTTAAGCAGAGGAAATTGTCAGTGCAGAGATCTTAGGAGTTTATTAGAAGGTATTTTCATTTTTTTTTTTTTTTTGGAGGACTGTGATAGGGTCCATATAGACAATACAAGAGTCTGTAATGGAAAGGAATGGGGGAATAAAAAGAAACTGAGCAGAAATAGACCTTTGGAGCTACCTTGGGAGGATAGTTTAGCCTAAAATATGTTAAATGCCATTACACAGATAGTTTTAGAAGACAAAGAAGGAGGTTAACTTTTATAGGATTTAAACAGAGTTTACAGTTATTAAAGGTTCTTCACTTCCTTTCCTTTACTCCTCTTTTTAAAAATTCTGCCTTTGAAATCATGACTGAGATGACAGATGGCATTTTGCATCTTTTCTAAAAAAATTATTACATTTGTGACACACCAGCCATAAATAGCTGAATATTCATACCCAACAGCAAATGTTCATAGGAAAAGGAAGAGTATTTTCCAAGTAACCTCTCTTTTATAATTATGGCTAAGTCTAATTTAAAAAAAAATCCCTAAATACATACTAGTTCAGTGAATAGAGTATTGCTTTTTAAAATGTAACGGAACACTAGCTAACATTAGGTTTTAATATTTACACAGCAATGAACTATGAAAAAGCAACAGTGGAAATACTATTGCAATTGAGGTCACAGATAGGTAAAGACTGGAAAACAGCTTGTCTCATTAGAACAGTGTCAGTGATAAGGCTGCTTATTTAAAGGGGCTGCCGAAGTTCCTCTGCACTTCTAAAACTCCCATGAGGATTCATTATTAGTCGCTCTGACTATTTTCATCAGATTGAGAGAAGCCCAGGAAATTCAACACCAGCTTGAATAGAGATTACCATCTGGTAATTGAAAGTGGTGGTAAATGAAGAGATTCCAAATGGTGTCTATTCCGGAGATGGAAGTTTATTCAAAGGGTTTGAGCTTTAGGTGTACATATGTACATTATTGGTCTTTGCTAGCAAATACGAAAATTAGAAAAATGAGACGAATTTGAAAACCTCCTGGGAAAATTATTTCTGTCAGCCCTTGTAAAGTTGTCTGTTGTACCATATACTTAGAACAGGAAGCAAACATACTGCTTTCTTCTCATTTTTCTCGCCTGAATAGACCTTTTGGCGAAGGAGGGCACACTGACTGATGGGGCTCGCTGCAGAGATGGGACCAGCTATGAGATCAGGAATTCTAGTGCCAGAAGCAAGCAGGATACACTTTAAGGAACATGTATCACTCAAGGGGAGACCTGCAGGAGAATAGCAATCAAGGCAGACAAAACAAGTGATACAGATTTACAAGATAAAGATCACAGAAACAGCCAAACAGGAAAGTCAGCACGGAGCATAAGCAAAATGCTAGAAGGAAAAGATCACACAAAAGCAGTCTTCTCTAAGTACTTCCTACAGGCCAGGGAATTAACCCAGGAGGGATCCCCAAGCCCTTGATGAGATAAAGCAAGTGACTATAAACTTGGTGAAAATGGTAGTAAGGAGGATAGATATTCAGGGTCACTTCCTCTGCCCATTTCCCGTTGGCTTATTTGCTTGCTGTTTCTCAGTGGTTCTCAATACTGGCTGCACTTTAATCACCTTGGGGAGGTTTTAGAAAATACCCAAGCTTGGTTCCACACCAAACTGATTAAGTCAGAATCTCTGGGACATAAGGCCCAGACACCAGTATATTTTAGAATTTTTACCAGTGATTCTTTTTTTTCCTTTTAAGTTTATTTACTTATTTTGAGAGATACTGAGACAGCATGAATGGGGTAGGGGCAGAGAGAGAGAGGGAGAGAAAATCCCAAGCAGGCTCCACACTGTCATTGCAGAGCCCGACACGGGGCCTGAACCCACGAAACCATGAGATCATGACTTGAGAGCCAAAACCAAGAGTCGGATGCTTAATCGACTGAGCCACCCAGGCACCCCTTTAAGGTGATTCTAAAGTGCACCGGGAGTGAGGAAGCACAGGTCAACGTAGATTATGAAGCACTGTGCAATTATCCAGTTAATCCTTGCTTAATTAGATTGATCCATTTCACAAAGGTTCCACATTTCTAGATATGGGGAGACCGGGCGATGGGGTAGGGCCTTTTCACTTCTGCATTGTTAAGTCATGAGGAGGCAGGCTGCCTCTAGGAGATAATGATTTCAGTGGGACAGTTTTCTTCAGCAAAGACTGAAGATTCCCTAAAGAGCTAATGGCTGAGGGCTGTCTTCTGGCAACCGCAACAGCTAGGCAACAAGCCCATCCTTTCTGAAAGGGAATCTGAGTGAGCGACCTGCTATGGTCCACCCTGTACCCTCAGATCCATTTGGGTCAAGAGTAGGAGTGTCTCCTTTGTGACTCTGATGGGCTCCCTTCCTGGGGAAGAAGCATGGTAATGGGATGAGAAATAACCCTGCTGCTGCAGCTGGTCTTGGGGCTACCAAAGATGCCTGTTTTCCCTCTTCTGTGTCCATTGTGGATCATCCTTGCCCTCAGCCTCAACCTTCTGGTCCCAGTGGCATGACTAAGACTTCCATCCCCGGGGAGCCTGACCCTCCTGTTCATTCTGCCCTCCTCAGGCCAGGGTTGCTGCATTTGTCCATTTACCATCAAATTTAGACATGGAAGTACCAAGAGAGACCCAAGTGGATTACTGGGTGCCAAACATGTTCCTTCCTGCCCTCATTATATAGCAATAGCCCTACTTCCTTATGTGTTGCAGACTATGAGTCTGGAGTTCTCTCTTGTCCGGCAAGAGAGCAGATGCAAAATTGAATATGAGAGAGGCTAATGTCCAGGAGGAGACAAGAACCCCAAACAGGGGTTTCCTCTCCGTATTTATTGAGTGCATAAGGTCGTACACACATGGTGAAAGTGAAGAAAATAAGATCGTACACACGTGGTGGAGGTGGAGAAAACAATCAGACAGTTATCATTAACTTGTGTGTGTAAGAAGCAAAGAGTCTAGGGGGCAAGTGGCGTTTGTGATCAAGGTATACAGGCATCAGATGGAAAGTAAGTTCCTGCAGGTGATACAACAAGTTGCTCGTGATCCCAGTACAATATCTCGATAGCTCACCTGAGGCACTTTCACCCCATGGTGGTGGCTTTCCACACTGTTTTTTTTCTAACCCATTTATATAAGTAGAACCTATTTCCCCACAATTAGGATGATCAGAGTCGACCAGCCTTGCCAAGATGGTGGTCTCTCTTCCTTGGATGCCTTGGCACCAGGGGCCTACAGTGCTCAGGTGGTAACCGTAGCTGATGTTCAGTGGGACCCCTGCCTTGTCTTCTAGGGAAAGTGGGCTACTTTGGGGATCAGGACCTTTTAAACCCATGGAGCCAAAGTTTCAGGGATGGGAAGCACACATCCCTAAGTGACGCACTGGGACTGATGTTGTATTAGTTTCCCAGCCCTGCCGTAACAAATTACCACAAACTCTGTGGCTTAAAACGACAGAAATTTATTCTGTCATCGTTTTGGAGGCTAAAAGTATGAAATCAAGATGCCTGAAGGCCATGCTGTCTTGGAAGACTCTAAGGAAGAATCCTTCCTTAACTTTTAGCTTCTGCTGACTGTCAGAAGTCCATGGCATGCCTTGGCTTGTGATGCAAGAATTACAGCCTCTGCCTTCGTCTTCACACAACCTTCTTCCCTCAGTGTGTCAGTCTCTGTGTCTCTGTCCCAATAAGGTGGACACTTATAAGAATAGGAGTCATTGGATTTGGGCCACCCTAATCCAGTATGACATCATTTTAAGTACATGATATCTACAAAAACCCTGTATAAAAACTAGGGTCGCATTTGCAACCACCAGGGGTTAGGACTTTTGTTTTATCTTTTTGGAGGACACAGTTAAACCCTCAATAGATGCTAAGCAGGGACCTTTCTACTTCCACTCTTGGTTCCCAGACCCATGTATCCTACGTACTAGGGACATGGCATCACATAAAAGTCTTTGATGTTAGTTATACTGTGCCCTAGAATATGGCATCTCTTCTTTGTAAAGTAGTGATAAGTACTTGTTTCCTGGGTCTCTAATGGTGGTTTTCCTTACACTAGATAGGACATGCCGTGCCAGTCCTTTCTCCACAAACACTCTTGTGTATATTTGTTTTTCAGCCCTTATGAAAAAGGCTGGCACCACAAACTGTAAATGCTGACTTTTACTTCTTTATAGGGTGTCCTTCTGTTCTCAGAGAATAATTAAAATCAACCAGAAACTTGAGGATTTTCTCTTCTATTTTTTTAAAAATTTAAAAAATATTCCAGTATATAGTGTTTTCTCTTTTATAATGTTTTTATTTATTTTTGAGAGAGAGAGGGAGAGACTGAGTGTGAGCAGGGGAGGAGCATAGAGAGAAATAGACACAAGAGTCCAAAGAAGGCTCCAGGCTCCGTGCTCTCAACACAGAGCCCGACGTGGGGGGTCTAACCCACAAACTGCAAGATCATGACCTGAACCGAAGTCAGATGCTTAACCAACTTGAGCCACCCAGGCACCCCCAGCATTTCTCTGTTAAACAAAAGGGAACATTTTTTTTACAAATATCGTCATTTTTCTAAGCTGCCTTCATTCGAGTATTTTTTTTTTTAGAGTGTTTGCAAAACCCTACTCTGGGTTCTTTAAAAGATGAATCCCTTTGTATTCTCTGTGGGTTTTATACAGTATTTGAAATTGAAACATTAAATAACTTTTTCCCCAAATTTTTAATTAAATTCTAGTTAGTTGACATACAGTGAGTGCAACACTGGTTTCAGGAGTAGAATTCAGTGATTCATCACTTACACACAACACCCAGTGGTCATCACAACAACTGCCCTCCTTAATACCCATCACGTGTCTAGCCCATCCCCCCACCCACCTCTCTCCATCAACTCTCAGTTTGTCTCTATCTTTACAAGTCTGTCATGGTTTGTTTCCCTGTCTTCCCCTCTCCTCCAACATGGGAGTAAAATCATACGGTATTTGTCTAACTGATGTATTCACTGAGCATAATACATTCTAGCACCATCCACGTTGTTGCAAATAGCAAGATTTCGTTCTTTTTGATGACTGAGTAGTATTCCATAATATGTGTATATTATGTACATATATATGTATAGACACACACACCGCATCTTTTTTATCCATTCATCAGTGAGTGGACATTTGGGCTTCATGTACCCCTCCAAATCTGTATTTTTGTAACCTTTGGATAAATACCTGGTAGTGTTATAAATGAAGGAACAGTTCCCAGAATTAAGATTTCCTAAATGTTAGAATCGGTCTGTAAACATGTGAGCTCACCCCTCTTTAAAGGGCAGTACAGGAAACCAATTTGACAATAAATTTCATATATTAAAAAAAATTATAAAAATTAAAAAAAATAAAGGGCAGTACAACCACATGCTGGTCTCAATAGGGTTGATAAAACTTGCTTTCCTCATGAAAACTGTGACCAGTTCTGAAGAATTCTGACCAACTGGAGCCGGTGCATATGTCGTGTATTAGTTAACCACTGAAGTGTCATCATGCTGTCAGGAAAGAGTGTTAGTTTGTTGAAACAATTCTTAAAATTGTTCTTCAGATATTCTGCATTTTTCCTGGTCAGTCCCTTTCTTGGAAAAGCCTTGAAAGGTATTTTGAGTGAGTAGAAATTCAGTTCATTTTCAGTCTTAGAATAATTTAATTTCCATTTTCCTGACCACCTAAGTTTGATGGGATGATTTGCTTCCTCAAATTCGGAAGGGGTAGAAGGAAAACAAGCAAACAAAGAAACTCGTCATATTTTCAATACTGCTTTTAATTAAATGCTATTAAATATTTATTCAACCAAATATGTCAATACTACTACTAAGAAATATATTGTTGTTTAGATGAGAATTAAGGAAACTAGACAAGCAAATGCTGAGAAGAGGCTAAACTTGGAAATTTGGACATTATTATGTATTTAGCATACTTTTGCTGAGTGTAGAAATTGAATTTGGCAAAACATTATCTCATTTTCTTGTATTTATAACAATAAATAACCAAGGTATTCATCTAAAATTGAGAATGTTTTTCTCCTTCCTCTTCGTTGCTATACAGTTTAGTTTTTAAATATAGAACTCCTCTTTTGTCATTGTTCATTTCCTCACAACCCTACACATCTGCCATAACAGTTTGCTGAGACTCTGCAAAATTGTCATACATTTTCCCCATTTTTAAAAAAGTTCTATGTAATTGTTCATTTTATCTGTTGTTAATTTGGAAATATTGCCAAGGAATGTCATAAAAATGCCAGTTTGTTTTTAGATGGCAATAAGATTTTAGAGTAGGACTGGACATTCTGGCCAAAACTGAGCCATTAAGAACTTTATAGGGGCACCTGGGTGACTCAGCTTGTTAAGTGTCCGACTCTTGACTTCAGCTAGGTCATAATCTCATGGTTTGTGAGTTCAAGCCCTTCATAGAGCTCTATGATGACAGTGTGGAGCCTGCTTGGGATGCATTCTCTCTCTCTCTCTCTCTCTCTCTCCCTCCCCACTTGTACACACGTGCTTGCTCTCTTTTTCTCTCAAAATAAATAAGTAAACTTTACAAAAAATTGCTAAAAAAAACCAACAAAAAATGACGTTTGTAAAAATGAGACCCCAGGTGTTTTCTTATTCATCCCACCCCACCCCCAACCGCTACTTTCCCTGTTGCCCCTTCCAGTCTTTCTGATCTTAAATCACAAACTGAAGTGTCCTTGCATGGACCCTCCTCTTAGTTCCCAAAACTTCCTGTTTGGCTAAGCACACTCATGCATAATCTGTATCTCCTGGAAATTGAATTAGATAATGCCTGTGGGGCACTGGGCATGTTGCCTAATATATAAAACACAGTGAGTAAATGAAAAGAATAGGCATGGGTTCTCTTAATACTATTATTTCATTTATTTATTTCCCAAGAATCATAGTTAGTAAGCACTCTTATTTTCCATTTCACAAATGAGGAACCTGAGGATCTTGGATTTTAATTAACATGCTTGAGGTCACACAGCTACTAAGGAGTGGAAGTGGTGGTTTTACTTCAACGCAAAGATTTTCATTATTAGCTCTCCAACTAATAAGAGGAATTCACATTGAAGGATGACTGAATCCTCTGAATATTTGCCTCTCACAAATAACATCTCATTAATGGAAGTGAACATGGCATTTATGTGAGGATTGTTTTATCGGGAAGACTTCCTTTTCTTTCTTGTGTGTATTCAGGACCAGAAGCTTGCTGAACCACTTGCAAATATTCTAATTAATGCAGAACTCATAAGGAAAAAAACACGTAATCCTTGAAACAAGCTCCCAAATTTGATATCATGTAACTGAAGCAAATGTAGTCAGCATTCTCACTAATTTTCCATAAGTGTTTTTCTCAGTTATAGGCCAATAATGCCATTTTTTTTTAATTTCAAATTGAGCAATACTCTAAAGGTTTGTTGTTTCTTCAGTGCTGTGGAAATCTGACTAGTTGAGAAAGCAGCACAGCAAAAATTAGCAATGAACTTGCTGGGATTGGCACTGGGTATTGTATGTAAATGATGAATCACTAACTACTCCTGAAACTAATATTACTCTATATCTTAGCTAACTGGAATTTAAATAAAAGCATGAACCATTAAAAAAAGTTAATAATGAGTTTCCTATTTTTGTCTCAAATGGTGATAAGTTTCTGTCAATTTGAAGAAATGTATTATTTAATTTAGAAGCTATTGCATTTAGCAGTTTGAAAGATTAATTTTTTTATCAATTTTGAAACAGTCTGCTGAAAACTGAGGTTTATCAGTGGCAATAATCTCAAGGGGAAATCATTTAAATTTCCAAATTGGATCCATTGCCATTCCTGTTGCTGGCAACCTCTCTGTAGGAGATGTTGTATTTCTAGGCACTTCCTTGTGATTCATTTCTTCTGCAAAAGGTTAAAAGTGCCATCCCATAAAGTTTAAAGGAAAAAGAAATACTTGAGGCGCCTGGGTGGCTCAGTCGGTTAAGCGTTCGACTTCGGCTCAGGTTATGATCTCATGGTTGGTGAGTTTGAGCCCCACATGGGCTCTGTGCTGACAGCTCAGAGGCTGGAGCCTGCTTTGGATTCTGGGTCTCCCTCTGTCTTTCTCTGCCTCTCCCCCACTAGTGCGTGCGCACATGCGTGCTCTCTCTCTCTCTCTCTCTCTCTCTCTCTCTCTCTCTGTGTCTGTCTCTCAAAAATGAATAAATAAGTATTAAAAAAAAGAAATACTTAACCAAAAATGTTAGTTAAGAAAGAAATCCGTATTAACCAAAAGATGTTTAAAATTAATGGAAAGTTATATGTTTATGTTTATTAACTAAATTAAGCATTGTAGTAAAGCTAGTATTCTAAGATTATCTATGCTTCTGATTTATTACACTAATATTTCATGATTTAACTGCAACTACAAGAGAATGTGAATAGACACGGAGAGCAGCAGTTTCAACATTTTTACTCTTATGTATGTTAATACACAGTTCTGCCTCTCATACATATGCACGTATATATGCAATGTACATAGGTATATGTGTGTATGTACATATATATATATATACATATGTGTGCTTATATATATAAATATGTGAAGTTTGAGTTTAGCTTCACAAAGAATGTATATAAAATGTTTTAAAAGTAGAAGACAATTTAAATTACAAATTATCTTTGCCAACTTAGATATAATCACCAAATGTTTGATATTTATTTTTAGAGCAGAAGAATGATTTTCATTCAGTTTTGGACTGGTGAAAGATAGTTTCTTGCATGTGTGGTCATATTCAGTGTTTTAAATACATTTACTAATAATCAGTAAGATTAAAGTAAATGTGGAGACACTGAGTTATAAAATCACGTTAAAAAGTAATTTACTTGTTTACACAGCACTGGAGAGCATGGAAGGGTATTATTATAGAGACAATGTTTCGGTGGAAGAATTTCAAGCCCAGATAAATGCAGCCTCATTGGAAAAAGTCAAACAATATAACCAGAAACTCAGGTATGTAATTTTTCAGTTTTTTTTTTTAAGTAAGAAGGTAAGTGTTTGTATTTTGACAAGAGCAGAGCAATAGAGGTCTTGACATACTCGTTATTAAATGATTGATGGTGATACTCCTTCTGATATGATGTCTTTTTATTTAAGGTTTAATATTTCAAATATTCTAACAAGTACACTTTTTGAAAATAAAATCGAAAAACAGTGTTTGAAAATTTTCATGCTATTGTCTTAATTGCTGAAGAAGATCAAAAATTAAATATTTATTAGATCATTAGCAGGGAGGGAAAAAAGCATTGATATTTTATAGTGGTGTCCCCTAGGAGGTCTCAGTGAATTAAGGGCAAATAAAATAGGCTCCTTTATGTACCATTAAACACCTGGCATCCTGACAGTGAGAGAAGAATGTGGTTAACACAGAAGCTTTGTCACAGCATTGACTTGGTATTGGAAAAATATCTACTTTCAAATACATATATTAATGTTTCGATTTTGCTGTTTTCCCCCCTCTAAAAATAGTGTTACTGGCAAAATAACCAATGGCAGGGAAGATTAGTCACAGTAAGTGAAAGGGAAATGTGTTACAATTCAAACTTTAATTTTCAACAAATTATTAGCATATATAACTCCCTCTTACTTGATGAATTATTCTGCGAAGAGATTATCTTTTTAAATTACTTTCAGATTACAGCTTTTATTTTTAAGAGAAAAAATACTCTTGTTCTACCTTAAGCCTTAATGATTCAAAAATCGTTTTATATTATATTTTATTTCGTCTTCCATTATAACTATTATAACATTTTTTGGTTTTGTCCACAATATGGCGAGACTATGAAGATAAATTAATTCCTAAAATTCCTGACAGGAAGAGGTATTCGTTCTCGTCGTATGAACGAAGGGTAGGCTCTTTCACCACAGATGCTTTCTCTTGCTTCCCCTGCCTCACGCAATCCCTTTCCATAGGTTCTTTACTTTTCTTCCGTCACGTTAATCACTTCTAAAGCTCTCAACCTCAAAACCCCCAGTATCTTTGTGACTTCTCATTTTCTCTTCCTTCCTAAAATATAGTTGGAGATCCTGATGAGTCTGACAGAAATGTCTCTTGGACTGCCCCCACTTTACTCTCTCATCTAGGTCACTATTTCTCAAAGACATATAATGTACTGACTCCTTTCACAAGAAAAAAACAAAGAAAAAAGTTCATCTTAAATTCTTAAATGGTGTGTCCACTAACACTGCCCAGTCTTGGTCAATCTGACCAATCACCTGTCTCTAAGCCCCCATGTTGTTTTAATCTCAAGATTTTGCTTCCAGATAATAATTTTAAGTTATCTATCTTACTATGTCACTCTTCTTGCTCAAAATATTTGGTGATTTCTTATTGTCCCCAAAAGGACTCACAACCTCCTTACACTGGCAATCAAGATCTTTCATGACTTGACCTGAGATTTCTTTTCTCCGCCTGTGCTCCAGCCGTGCTGTACTCTCCTTATATCCAATCATGCACTGTAGTCTCCTTGCTCCATGACTTTTCACCATCCACCTAGCATCTGGTCTTCCATCTCCAGCTGCTTATAAAGCTACTATTCCAGTGATTCAATGTCTGGCTCTAGTATGCTCTTCTTAATAAAATATTTTTCTTTTATTATTGGGCTAGGCTGAGGCCTGGGCATTAGACTGTCTAGAAGTCTCCTAGGAGTTTCCGATGTGCAGCTGGAATTGAAAAGCAATTCCCTAGATCCCAGAGTTCTGTTTATAAAAAATATTTTATACTACTTTTTTTCCGTAAGTTTATTTATTTATTTTGAGAGGGGGAGAGAGGTAGGGAGAGAGGGAATCCCAAGCAGGCTCCACACCTTCAGCATGAAGCTCGATGTGGGGCTCGAACCCACGAACCATGAGATCGTGACCTGAGCTGAAACCAAGAGCCAGATGCTCAGCTGACTGAGCCCCCAGGTGCCCTAGATTCCAGAGGTCTCAAAGGATGACCCCCAGGCCAGCAAGGTCAGTGCCCTCTGCAAACTTGTTAAAAAAAACTCTTAGGTAGACCCAGCAGTCTGGGTTATAATAAGCCTTGCAGGTGATTCTCACACACACTCAAATTTCAGAAGCACTGCCCTTGGCTAAATAAATGTCCAACCACTCTGCCAGTCTTTCATTTTACTTTATTTATGACTACTACGGAATTCCGTTTTTCTCCCTGATGATACCGTTATGTGTATAGATCTCTCATCTTTATTTTATGATTAGCTCTTCAAGATGAGGGATACACTGGGGCTCCTGGGCAGCTCAGTTGGTTGAGCATCTGGGGCTCAGGTCATGATATCATCGGTTCGTGAGTTTAAACCTGCTTTGGGCTCTGTGCTGACAGCTTAGAGCCTGGAGCCTGCTTGGGATTCTGTGTCTCCTTCTCGGTCTGCCGCTCCCCTGTGCACTAGTGTTCTGTCTCTCTCTATCTCTCTTTCTTTCTCTCAAAAATAAATAATTTAAAAAAAGATGAGGGATACATTTATCTTGGTGTTTCCCATGGTGTCTGTCAAAGTATTTTGCATAAGAAGTTCTCCAAAATGTATGTTGAGTTGCATGAAATTATTTAGATACAACAAGCCAGAGAGCAGTGGGGATGTCACCTAACATTCATGCCCCTGTGGATCTTTGTTTTTTTAACCAGAATTATAATGGATACTCACATATAACAGGTACCTGATGTTTAAGATTTCTTATGAAGATAAACAACATGTGTATTAATGCATGCTATCCTCTTCACATAAAACATTTTCATGTATCTTTTCTAGAGAAAACATTTTCAAAAGCACAAACCCCTCAGGACTAATTGGTGCTCTTGTCAGTAATTAGCTGCTATATATCCTATTTGTTGCATATTAGATTTCCTTTGCACAGGAAGATAATTATTTTCCTCTTTACTTCCAGTAATGCCTTCTCTTCCTGCCTATTTCTTGAATAAGGCTCTTAATTTCTTCCTTAATTTTTCCTGTTACTTTGTAACCATAAATACTCTGAAACTACTCTTGGGCAATCTTTTTTTGGTTTTGGGGGCTACAGACCAACGTTGACCATTTCTTTAAAGGGGCTGTTACTATCCTTTGTAGAAAAATAACCCTCAGGTGTCTCTAGTTCATTATAACCCAGAGCCTTTTTAACACTTTCACTGAAAACCATATCATTCTTGATGTTACTTTGTTTATTTGCTAATTAGACCTCAGAAAAGGCCTTTTTTTTTTACTTCTTAACCTTACAACAAACCAACAAACATAAATAAATGAACTAGTGTTTTTTTTAGAAAGCGTTCTTTAGATTACAAGTTTCAGAAACCAAACTCAAACTGGTGTAAACAAAATAATGCATTGGCATATGTATGTAACAGGTGTATTCAAGGCATGTGGTGCTGGCTGCGTTAGGCACAGCTAGATCCAAGGATATGGTCTTCAGCGGGGGGAGGGGGGGGGCTTTCTTTCCCTGTCTCTTAGTACTTTTTTCCTCTGTGTGGGCTTCATTGTTGTTACACATTTGGGTAAAGATGGTCACTGCAGACCAGTGTTGCAGTCAGAGAAGAGAATGTGTCCACCCCCGTTACTCCTCCACAGAGAGTTCCACCAAAAGACCCAAGGAGGCATTCATTGGCCAGACCCAAGTCATGTGCCCATTCTTGGGCGGGCTCAGCATCACAGAAGTCCACACCAATCGGCTGTCACAAAAGGAACAAAGTAAGGATGCTGGACAAGAGGGAATAATGGATTTCATTCTAGTTATAGTCTCTAGAACAACAAAGAACAGGTGCAAAAATTTACTACTTAAAAGATGATGATAGCCATAATACCCACCAATTTTTAAGAACATATTGAGTCGGTCACAACTCTAGGTGAGTTATGTGGATTATTTAACAAAACTGGTAAGTTCCATATTATCATTTCCATGTTAAGGGAAACTTATACAAGTTTACCCAGATAATAAGTAGTAAAATCAAAATTTAAATCACAGACTTTTTTTCTCTAATTTAGAGTCTATACTATTTGTTCTGTGTTAGGCTGGCTTAGTGACTGGAGTGAACATAATATGCTGAAAACAAATTCTCTGTTACTAAGTTTTGGTGTCAGATACTATCAAGTGCCCCCAATTGCTCTGAGTTTGTACCATCAAGTGTTCATTCATTCAGTGTCCATGAAGTTTCCCTTTTCATGAAATTGAAAAAAAAAACAGAAAATGAACAAGTGAATCCATAAACAAATTATTGGAGATAGTGAACAGTTCAATGAAGAACTAAACTATGGCAACTAAAACAAGTTGCCATACTAGGAGGTCGGTCGTGTAGAGGAGGTAGTTAGGGATGACTTAATTATTAGGTGGTATTTGAACAGAAGACTGAATCAAAAGGAGACAGCCTTGCCAAAATTGGGGGGAAGGTCTTTCTCAAAAATCATGAGAATTAGCTTATCATGTTTGAGGAAGACAAAGAAGGCCAGGAGGATTCTTGTCATTAAGAAGGATGATGCATGAGGGTGCCTGGGTGGCTCAGTCAATTAAGCATCCAACCTCAGCTCAGGTCATGGTCTCACAGTTCATCAGTTTGAGCCCCACATCAGACTCTGCGCTGAGAGCATGGAGCCTGCTTTGGATCCTCTGTCTCCCCCTGTCTCTGCCCCTTCCCCCATGCTCTTGTGCTCACTCTCTCTCTCTCTGTCTCTCAAAAATAAATATTAAAAAAAAAGAAGGATGATGTATATTGAGAGATATTTGTGTAGATTTTATTGTAAGTACAATCCAGGAGTCTTTGGAAAGTTTTTATTTAGTGACTGTTGTCCATTTGTATCTCATCTTTCTATTGCAAATAATATCCAAAATGGTTGAAGCTCCCGTGAGGCGGTAATTCATTACCAGCAGGCTGCTCTGACCCTTCTTGTTCCAGTTTCTGTAGGAATACAGATCAGCCAATGCACCTGGGGGGTCTTTGCCATATGCGTGATAACCCTGACGCTGGTTGCCTA